TTTTTTTTTTTTTTTTTTTTTTTTGCGTTATTAGACCCTTTAATACAAATATGAATCTAATTGCCATAATTTTGTGGGTAAGAAATTAACAAGTGTATGAGCAGTTATTTTTTCAGCTGAACATTTCTTTTCATTTTAATTTTCAGCTATTTTTCGCCATGTATGTCAACCTACTATTGAATAATGTTTCCTGTTGTTACAACCGTATAATAACGTTTCTTTCATTTCGTTAACACATCAGCAATTGTTGTCGATTACCGCAATCATTACGGCCGCTGGAAATAAAAATTAACATTGAACGGTTATTGGAAGGGAGGAAAAAAATGCGAACAAAGAAACTTGAGAAATGTTTGGCTCACTTTTGCATTGCAAAATTTTGCGCTGAATTTTAATTACAGTGCAAATATATTGAGAATTTAGCATACATTATTAGTGACCTTATGGTCATTTCTTAGTCGTCATGTAACCGAGAAAACCGAGATATAAATTTATCACCAATTCCATTGAAACAAATGTTGTCTATATACCCTATACGTTGTGCATTTTAGTTAAATTGGCTTTTCATTCAGCACATTGAGGAAGTGCAGCAGGTAGTTGCAACCAAGAAACATACTTTTTGTTTTAAACCTTGAGCTCAGTGTCAGAGCACTTTATGAAAATTCGGCAAAATTTTCGCTTGTTCATTTGAAAAAGTAATGCTCTCTCACAAGCTCTTTTGTCTAAATTAAAGAGATCAAAATTAGAAGCACGTTTTAAGAAAAAGGCAAATGGAAATGGCGAAAAAATGAGCAGTTAGAAACATATTTTCGGAATTGAGCAGTTTCTGTTCCAAATTATGATATTCAAGTATAATAGCGCTATATACTGTACATTACTGTAAGTCTTTGGCAGCACCATCGTTGAATAAAAACACCAGAGCGAAAGGAAAAAGCACTAGACGGAGGAGCAGACAATGCAAATCAACTCGTAGTGTTACATTCAAATTACCAACCGTCCTGAGCACCTCTTCAGTGTCACTACAGCTTAAATGCGCTGGTTTCTCAGCAATTAGTAGTTTGTGAAGATTGCCTCAGCACTCAAGGTAAACAATTTTTGGAAGGGTGTTATCTACAAGGCAATTTTGGCCAGCTCAAAAGAAAACTATCTCAAATAACAGTCTGCCACAACACTGCTTCAAATGCTTGAGGCTACGAACAATATGACCGTAGATGTCCTCCTAAAGAGCATCCTCGAAGGTTAGGCAAATGGTCAAGTCAACTAAAGCGACATCTTAAGAACAAGTAGTTAGCATCAAAGTGGAGGCGAGGTTTGGCAAAGACTCCTAACTTGGCTGATAGACAGCTCTTGCTCAAAGCTTCGCTGACTCGTAAATGATTCCTTTATGCTTCAGTCAGTTTTTGCATTCTAGACTTTATCGCAGCGCCATTCTAGCAACTTTAGTTTGCACTTGTTTCAAACTCTCAAAATCGATTTAGTTTGCTTGGTTCTGTCTTGTCGTTGTTAGGCTTGTGCTGCATTTGTGCGAGTTCTGTAGTTCCTCAATCCGAGCTATAGGTCTTAGATAGAGCCTGTACTTATTAATTACAATATACGGATAAATATGTTAAATAAAAGACTCTTACTAAATAAAAACTGTTGTTCGCAGTTGTCGCATCGAGACAGCGTATCTAACTAATTTACCACTGTAAAGTATAGTCGTCATTAATCTGACCGACAAGTTCGGTAGCGAGTCTTCAATGCGGTCAGTGATTGGTGCAGTGAACTTTCATTGTTGCCTGTGACTCTACCGTAAAAGGGGCATTTAAAGTGATCCCTTCACAAGGCATCTCAAGAAGGAGCGACGGCAGTCAGCATTTGCTTTTAAGATTGGAAATCACGGCAAAGCCAAATGCCGTTTCCGCTCCACAGTTAAACCACCACTCTTTTCCTACTTTTTTCTCTTAATGCCGCCTACAGATCATATATAAGTCACCACTTTTATCCTACTACTTTCTCTGTCATACTCATCAGATAAGAAGAAAGAAATGAAAATCAGAAGATAATTAGCCCTATTTTTTCTATTTTAGGTATAATTATGTTAACCAGTTCGAGCAAATCAACTACTAATCGTTTTGAACAACTAAATAAAAAGGCAAGAAAGAATGTTTTCTGTTTGTTAAAAATATTTTCTCATTTCTTCTTGTTCTTTTTTGTTTGCCCGTAATGTTGGTCTTTTCAATTCTTTTCCGTTCTTTTTTTCTGTGCACATTTTGATTTGTATAAATATTACTGTAAGTTAGAAAAAATATAATTAAAAAATCAGTTTTATTCTTGGTTTTTACATCTTTTTTATTTATTCCTCAAAAATTTGCTTTAGAAACGCAGTTGATGGTGCAGCTGGTCCAAAATTCAGCCACTTGATCGTTCCTGAATATTATTAATTTATTTGACAAAAAGGTCTCAATATTACCGGTAGTTTAATAATAATAATAATAGTAATAATAAT